AGGAAGGAAGGAAGGAAGGAAGGAAGGAAGGAAGGAAGGAAGGAAGGGGAAGCAGTTATAGGAACTCTTTCCTCACCTGGTCTATCTCAAAAAGCTGGCAAAACATGACAGCCTCCAACATATCCAAATAAAATTCATACCTGAGAGTCCTTGGGATAAGTCCCAGTTGTGAAAGCAAAGAAGAGGAAAAGAGAACAAATGAAATAAGGATAAAGGATAAATGGTTAAGATTGCCCCTTTAACTGTCCATCTTCAAACCAGAAGCTCAAGCAAAGCCCACCCATTGGGTTTCTAGTTATCTTTGCCAAAAACAGGTGGCTGTTCCATTTTTATGCTGTACATTTTTTTATAGGGGAAAAGCATTCTTATAGCAGAAATTAGCCAAGAATGAAATCTGGGCAACTCTGTATAAGAACCACAATCTCTTGGAACCACCCTTTTTTTCTCTCTCTCTCTCATTATAATTTGACTGGTTTGCAAGTTTTATAGACGGCATATATCTCAAGCCGAGTCCAATTGGCAGCTGTGGACAATGGTTAAGTATTGGCTAAATAATGGGAAGGTGAGAGAGAAGCTTATATTTCCAACTAATTATGGAGATGGAGAATAGATGCCAGAATCCCAGTGAAAGGAAAGGCACCATCTATTATCCGACTTTCTTTGGATGGCTGCTTAATAAAGACATTTATTTGCAGAACGTTATTCAAAAGGGGTGGGGGGAAGCTGTCATTATTTTCTCACTCTAGGAAGCTGATTGACTCAGTTGCCTACTAAGAGTCGGGATTTTAAACATGAATGCTGAACATCCAAGTTTAAATGTTATACTGCAGTCCAATGTCAGATCCAGAGAACCAGGAATGACACCATAAATAGCTCAAAAGTAGTTCCTTTATTGCTGTTTGCTTGTAAGCAGGAATCTTGCCAGACTAAAGTACTCTTTGCATAGCTGTCATGCCCCTGTCAGAGTCTGAATCCTAGGAGGAAGACGAATAGTTGACAGGGAGTGGGAATGTGGCTCCGTTGGCTATGGAGGAAACTAGGGAAGGGCAAAGTCTGGCTGGGCAGAGCAGGAAAGAGGTAGAACAAGGGAGAGGGCGTTCGGAGGAAGACCCGGGCCCACCCTCTCTTTATCCTAGGGCATGCAGGGAGGAAAGGAGAAGAGAGCAACGTGGTTGCATGGCTTACGGGGGAGGAAAGGGCCTTGATTCCCTTCATTAGCCATACCTGTGAATGAGAGTTTAAAAGAGTTGCAAGCTGAGTGTGGCATCTGCTGGGAGCAAACGTGAGTTTATCTTGTATTGACTTTGGCTATCTGTGTTCCTGGCATCCTCCCAACCCTGTTGAGTTATTGTCGTGCCTTCACATCTGGAATTCCTTTTCCTGCCCTGCCGGACTAATTACTTCATTTTGCCTTGAATGGACTTATAGTTACAGTTTTTGCTGACCATGTTTTGGACTTGATTCTCTGCAGGCTGTTCCTGGGAGAGTTTTTCTCTAGCCCAGAAGGTAACCAGGACATTGGAGGCAAAGTTGGAGCTAATAAAGGGACTCCTACTGATTATCTGACTGTGTTGCTTTTGTGCCACGCCCGGGGTGATCACAATAACTATTAGATAAATACCGTGAAGATTTATGGTGGGAACCCTTTGGGGTCTCCTTAAAACCTACCAATGAATTATGCAACTCAGCACCAGATTCCACCATATCCAATCAGTATTGTGTAGGGATATTGTTGGTTTTATTGTTGGTTTTGTGTCTATGGAGATTCTCAGTCATCCAGGTCATGGTTGCCCCAAAGGTGCATTTAGTTCTGATGTGTTAGGAGATACAAACCCATCAGATACATAGGAGAACAAACCCATCAGGACAAGATTCACTAGTCCACCTGCAGTTAAAAGACAAAGGCTGCCCTTTTGAAGACAACAAAGTCCACATTTTGGACAGAGAGACCTGCTAGTTTGAAAGAAGGATCAAAGAGGCCATCGATGTCAAAACGGAATAGTCCTCTCTCAACAGAAGAGGAAGGATATGACATCATCTGCCTTCAGTCCACAGCACAGTCCTTTCAGCAGTTCCAAGAAGGCTCCGCAGCAATTTGTTCTATCCGTTTTGTTCACTTATTTTTGTATGCATCCCAGTTTTGAACCATAACAATAAAGATTTGATTTGATTTTGATTCGAAGAGGTTAGCTTCCTCTCAGGAGATGTTCCCTGAGTTGGACTCCAGTCCCCATTATCCTCAACCAGTGTGTCCACAGGCATCTGGTCGATGAAGAGGGTGGGTGAATGTCCTCTTTTTCATCCTGCAATTCCTTTCTCCAGGGTTTAGCTAGCTTCCCTTCAACCCCAAGGGAGATCTTTGAGTTTGAACTATTTTTTTTTCTTAGAAGAGCACCTTTTAAGAGCGTTTGGGGGAGGAAGATTACTTTGTTATACTTCATAATATCTGAGATATTAGTGCTTTGGGAGAATCATTATATGGAGCCTTAAATGTGATTTTTATGGGAGGCTTTATAAAAGGCTCTCGAGTCGGGGACATGCTTTGCATACAAAAGGCTCCAAGTCAGTCTTTAGCAAAACATTCCTGAATACATATATATATTTAAAGGGGGAGAAAAGAGAATTACACAGGAAATAACTTGTAATAGTTGTGAGTTACATGCGGTGTGTTTGTGTGTGTGTATATGCGTGCACGTGTATCTAAACTTCTCCCTACTCCTCACAACCTCGTGATTTGCTTTCCTCATGCAGTCCTTTATTATTTTTATTTTGATAGGTTAATATTTGCATCCTTATTGCCGTGACCAGAGTAATTTCAAGAATAAGTGCTGAAAATTACAAGGTCCGTGGAGAGGCTAATGCGTTCAAGTAAGTTTGCTTTCCCTTCCTTTTTTAAATTTTTTTTTTATTAGCAGGAATTTAAACTCCCAAGAACATTGGAACTGCTACTGAATGCTGAGTCCAGTGTCATAAAATCTGTTGGTTTTTTTTTTTAAAAAAAGGGGAATTGTGTTCTGAATCAAGGCTGGATGGATTCTGCAACACTGTTTATCTAATCCCAAAGGATTATCGCTGTTTATCTAATCCCAAAGGAGAAGATAACATCCAGTCTTGTGAAGATCACAGGCATTAAAAATACATCTGAATGTCCAGTAAAGTTGGCTGTTGGGCACTTTTTGAAAAATAGACATTAGGCAGAGGGTTAAAAATTGGGATCTCGTCCAAGTAATACTCCTGGGATTATTTTGTAAACAGTATTTGAATTTCACAAGCAATTCCTTTGCTGAGTGCTAAGCAGAAGGAAAGTATTTCCTTCCTTCCTTCCTTCCTTCCTTCCTTCCTTCCTTCCTTCCTTCCTTCCTTCCTTCCTTCCTTCCTTCCTTCCCTTTTCTTCTCCTTTCTTCTGTTGGAAGGAAAATCCAGTCCTGTTCCAAGCCAGGGGAAAGGTGCTGGAAAGAAAAATGGAAGGAAAGAAAGTTTATTTGGTTTCCAGAAACTTTAATGACAGAAACAGTTTTTTGGGGTGTCTAACAAAATGGCTGAATGAGTGGATGGATCTTTACAGGGTTCTGAGATGCTCCAGGGGTTTTTGCAATGTTGTGAGCCTTGTGTCTTTTGCTATTTTAATGATGGTGGGTTAACCCTATTATGTTCTAAAGGTCCTGTCCTGTCCTTTAGAATTTGGGAAAAGGAATGTAAATTCTTAATCCCATCAGCTCCAGCCTTCTGGTGGAGCTTGTGGCTGAAGGTGTTTTGTTTATGGATAGGGCGGACTAGTCTTTCTGAATGGATACCAAATCTGCAATTCCTAAAGGTCAATTTGAAGCTGTTTTCCCTATGGCAGGAAGACTAGGGCTGCTTTCTGCCTTTGTTAAGATTTTTATCAATTTCTCCTTTGGGGAAATATTCTAGCCTGCCCCTTTTTAATTTTAAGAATAAAGAATATTTTAATTTGGGGAGGGAGGTTTCCTATACTTTTCTTTCTCCTCTTCCTCCTCCTCTTCCCATTATTCTCTTTTGCCTCTCCCTTTCATCCTTCCTTCTCCTCCTTTCATTTTTTTCTCTCTTCTTTGATCCTTCTCTTCCTTTCAACTTTTCTTCTCTTCCTCCTCCTCCTCCCATTATTCTCTTTTGGTTCTCCCTTTCACCCTTCTTTCTTCTCCTTTCATTCTTCTCTTCTTCAATCCTTCTCTCCCTTTCAACCTTTCTTCTCCTCTTCTCATTATTCTCTTTTGCCTCTTCCTTTCATCCTTCCTTCTCCTCCTCCTCCTCCTCCTCCTTTCATTATTGTTCTCTTCTTCCTTCTATCCTTCCTTCCCTTTCATTCTTCCTCCCCACCTAAGAAAACTATTCAGCCTTTGGAACCTGTCAATCTTCCAATCTGCCTTGCTTCTCTCATTTGGTATTTGCCATGGCAGAAATTTGCAAGATTCATCAGGTGCATTTATAGACCCGGAATGCAACAATAAGCTTCGCTCTTGATTAGAACAGCATGAGGTATTTTTAGCCCTTTAGGACAGGTGACACAAGAAAATGAACTTGAATCTAAAAATAAGTGGCAACCGGGCACTGATATTTTCTCCCTTCATTCTTGCAAGAGAGACAGTCCTAGATAATTTCTTATCTCTGCTGGAGAATGCTTGCTTGCTGTAGTAAACCCGAGGACAGGCAGTGGAGTACATAATGCATATTTATAAACGGATACTCAGTGTGCATTATCAGTTGAGCCAATCGGGACTACAAGGATTTATGTAACTTACAGCTCCTTACAGAAAGTGGTTAATAACACAGCTTGTGATTCCAGTTGGCAAGCACCAAACCGGTATGTTGTACACAAATTTGCCCATGTGTGCTGAAGGACCCTGGAGATGAAGTTTGTTGGCAGCAAGACTATTTGCTGGAGAGCAATTTTGCCTTGTTGCAGCTGGCAAGAACAAATTGGTGTAATTGTTGCCAATAGTTTTCCCTGGCACACAGGGTGTTGAGCCTGTGCTCATTCGATTAATGGCATATTGAAAGTGAGCATCAGTCTGGCCTTATCACTGCTTACCGATTGGATCATCTGAGCCCACTAAGCAAATTTTGATTTCCATAGGAGACTAAGCATTTATTTATTTATTTATTTATTTTATTCATTGTATTGCGAACAGTTGCTGGGGTGCATCCACAGTTTCGTTGTAGTTGTACAATGACAATAAAGTTCTTCTAATTCTAATTCAAAGACTTTACTCATAAGCGAGTAGCAGAGATTATTTCATTTGCTTCCGTTGATGGGTCATGCCTGGTGGATGAAGGTTGTAGAACCAACACCTGTTCTCTATTCAAGGATAGTAGGTTGGTTGGTTTGATTGTTGTTTGCATTGGTGTAAAATGCACTGAGGCACTTCTGAGGGTTGAAAGGATTAGCTGGTTGCCTTGGGAATGCCCAACTGGGGGCTCTTTCCATGTGCCTGGCAGGAGCTAGAGTGAAGGGCGGGAGCTCAACCCTGCCCACAGCAACTCTTGGGTCTCAAACGTGGGCTTGCTCACTGCCTGCCCTAGCGTTCCAAGCGCTCAAACCCCTTTGCCATGGTGGTGCCGTGGTTAGAAGCAGTACTGCAGGCTGCTTCTACTGACTGCCAGCTGCCTCTGCAGTTCGGCAGTTCAATTCTGGCCGGCTCACGGTTCACTCAGTCTTCTATCTTCCTGAGGTTGGTAGAATGAGGACCCAGATTGTTGACGGCAATAGGCTGACTTTGTAACAGCATAGAGATGTTCTGTGGACGTGGCTTGGTGGGCATGGTAAGGGAAGGATACTGTAACATCTCCATTCCCTCCCCACTCCATTAACCTGATTTCCAGCTCCGTTCTCCTCTGCAGGGCAACCAAAGGAGACCCAGCCAATCAACTGGGACTCAATGGGAGCCAGGGAATAGATGGGGGTGGGGCCAGTTAGAGGCGGTATTGGCCGCTTCTCCAAACTATTCAACATTTCTGCTACCAGTTCTCCAGAACTGGTCAGAACCGGCTGAATACCACCTCTGAACAGCACTGGAAAAAGCGACTCAGGACTGTTTTTCCGCACTTCTGAATCACACGATCAAGGGATCACATGGTCCCACGATCAAAATTCAGATGCTTAAGAGTCGCAGCATCCCAGGGCCACGTGAACCCCACTTGCGATTTACCCATCTGCCTTCCGTCAAGTAAAACCGAGGGGGGAAGTTCAGATTCGCTTAAGGACAGCCTGATTCACTCAACAACTGCTGTGATTGGGTGCCCGTCACTTAGCAATTGCTGGGCTTAGCAACGGAAATTCTGCTCCCAATTGCGGTCATAAGGCGAGGAGTACCTGTATGCATAGCCTCCCTGTCAGCTCTTAAAAGGGATAATTGGTGCCTTCGGGAAGGACGGGAGGCTTGGTGGGTCTGTCTCCCACCTTGAGTTGGTGCGTATTATTTGTCCTGCCTGGCAGAAGCTCATTAACGGCTTCTCGATAAACTGCCAGGGCCAAGCCTTACGGGAAGATTTTGTTCATCATTGCTTCTGATGTGGTCTAGTGGTCTGGAAAAGTCAGTATCATTTCTCCAGTACATGCAGTCTCCGGAATATTAGCTGAGGAATCCACAATGAGATTTTTCATGAATAAGTGGAGAGAGAGAGAGAAAGAGAGAGAGAGAGAATGACGGAGAGAGAATGAGAGAGAGAATGACAGAGAGAGAATGAGAGAGGCAATGACACAGAGAGACAGAATAAGAGAGAGAATGAGAGAGAGAATGAGAAAAAATGAGAGGGAGAGAATGACAGACAGAGAATGAGAGAGAGAATGAGAGGGAGAGAATGACAGAGAATGAGAGAGAGAATGACAGAGAATGACAGAGAGAGAAAAAGAGACAATGAGAGAGACAATGACACAGAGAGAGACAGAATAAGAGAGAATGAGAGAGAGAATGAGAAAAAAATGAGAGGGAGAGAATGAGAGAGAATGAGAGAATGACACACACAGAGAGAATGACAGAGAGAATGACAGAGAGAGAGAGAGAATAAGAGAGAGAATGAGAGAGAGAGAGAAATAGAGAGCTGTCAGGAGGGGAAATGTGTAGCTCTTTTTTTTTTACCATATGGCTCAATTATTTGCATCGCTGAAAAGATGATTCAATTCTCTGAGATGTCAAGAATGAAAATCACATCCTTTTTTTTTCTGGATTTGGGTTCATAGACCACTTTTTAAATTCATGCAGTCTTGAAAACAATGCCAAGGATGAACTAGGTTGACTGTCAGGCCCCAAACCAAGAACGACATGTATTGATTCTATCAAACTGAGTTGTTGTTTTTTTAAAAAAAATATCCTACCCATAGACAGAACCTTGCCAGATTGAGAACTCTCTGGGAACTGTTAGGGAGGGCTGTCTTCACCCTTTTTCTTTCACACAAAATATCTGGACTGAGTTCTCTCTTACTCCTCCAGGGAATCCAGACTACATTCCAGCTCGGTGTTCTCTCTCTCTCTCCCTCTCCTCTCCCTCTCCGTCTCCATTCCTCTCTCTCCCTCTCTCTCTCTCTCTTTCTCTTTCTCTTTCTCTCACTATATAGTCCTTCCTTCCTTC